AACTTGTTATATCATTTAGAAGTTTCTTAAGAAACACATGTTACAGACGATTGCTGGACATTGTGTTTATTTATTTACACTCACTAACATTTTCATCTATAGGTAGTCATTCTCCGAACATAAAACACTTGCTATCTTCGTATTGCCTTCTATGAGTATGGTACTTAGTACAAGGATAACCAAGGATAATCATACCTCATGATACAAGTAGTATAACCATGTATTGTATTGTATTGTATTGTAGGTGGACCTGAAAATGACGGTAAAGAACAAATAACTGCTGATAACTACTGCTGATGACTGCTAATGTATTCATTCTATTAATTTTATTATTTTAATACAATATAGTTTTTTATGATAAAACCGGTTAATAATGGCAAGCGATAACACACATGATGCACAGTACTTTTCATTTAAAGCAAAAATAGTGAAATTTGGTTTATTAAATAGCTTGTATCACTCTCTAAACAAAAACTCTATGTATAAAAGATACGGAATTCGTAACACCGAACTAGAGACAAAAAGTTTCTGTAAAAACTTCTTTCGTAGTAAAAAATGCGTGTAGTAGACCAACTTTTTACTAGTATGTTCTTCACACCGTTTTGTTGTTCCTGATACCACTGATATTACGTATTCCGTATCTTTTATACTTAGGGTTTTTGTAACCCTTACAGTTGGTAAGGTCGATTCAAGTTTAGTACAAACATTGGAGGAGGAAATACTTGCCAAAACTGTATAAAGAGGCAATGGGATTCAAAAATGACAAATTTTGTTTGCGGATTTGTTGAATGACTCGCAATAATTCACCAACTGTTTAAAAAATTCGTTAGAATTAAATAACAAAAAAGCAGCTTCATAGTGTGAAGCGGAGTGAGTTTGTCAACTGCGCCCGCCCTGACGCGCCGCTCGTTATCTCCTGGCATCCCGCGCAGCTGCTATCGAGCCCTTCCCCTCAACCCCGGCGCCGCCGATGACGGAGCGTCGTCGGATTCGCGGCGTCTCCCTTCCCACGCCCATACATCACGTGGCGCGCGGCGCGGCGCGGCGCGGCTCGGTGGCGAAAAAGGGTGAAATATGAAAATCCTCGCGGCGGAGCGCCGATCGGCAACCGGAAGTCGCTCGTCGGAAGGCGCATCCGGCGTGGCGCGCGCCAAAAAATTAATGCGATTCGAATGGGCCGCTTTTTCGCGCGCCGCCGCCAGGCGCGCTGGCGTCGCGCCTAACGACGCCCTCCCCCCCCCACTCTCCTACCAGCCGCGATGAGACGGTGCCGTGCAGTGGGCGGTGGGTGAGCTCCTTTGAATTCCAACAAGCGGCTGTAACAAGCGGGAGGGATGGGTTGTACTTCTGACTTCCGGTAAATGGCGGCGCGGAGTGGATGTCTGTGGTGTTCTCTACTTTTATTCATACAAAATATATTATAGTGCATTCCACACATTCATAATCGCGGGTCAGTTTTACACACTGTATGTTCTGGTCTGACAAAACATGTCATGCTACTACTTAAAAAGTGTAACTTTCATACCTTTTAAAATTATAAAAATACAGGGAGTTTGTTGCACTCTCATTTCTGAATGAAAATCTCTGATAGAAAATTAATTGTGGGTAGGTAACCATAACTTTCTAAAGTGTGCAATCTTGGTGGATTTTTGAACATATATATCTAGGTAGTTTACCTCCCTATACTTTTAAATTCAATGGCGACATGCGCGAATGAGGTTTCATTTCTTTGCGAGGATTTTGAACTCGATATTTGTCAAGAATCACTCATCAATCATTAATGTAAGCGTCTAGGCGATTGTGCTTTTATGGCTACATTTGCCACATTAACATAGATGAAAGGTAGATGAATTTATCAAAAAATGGAGAAGAAGTTCAAAGAAGAAATGAGAAGTACTTGAGCATATTCGAAGTACGGTCAAAGTGAAACTGAAATACAAGAACTCAAGCAAATGAGGAAAATTACCTACTAATTTCTAAGGAAATAAATGAACCAATATATTACAAACGTTTGTGCAAAGATCAATCGGAAAACGAGGTATTTCTTGCAAGTTTTCTGGTAAACGATTGAGATTGCTTCAAACACAAAGCAATGGACACCGTACAAGAATAATTTCTTGAAGTATCACCACGTGGTGCGTTCTTGGGCCCATTTTTACTCCTGTAGTATTTTGCGCGCACGTACTTCAGTGCGTGCCCACTGCGTGCGACCATTGTCGCAGCCGCCGCGAGCGGATCGGCCCTCTCCGGTGCCATCGCTCATGCGGCGTCTCCCGGCCGGAAGAATCGGCTGTCAAAAGGAAAAGGGCGCACATGGCGCTAACGGCGAGAAGTTCCGCGCATCGCCGCCGCCTCTCCGCTCGCCGGAGACGGCGCTTCGCGAACGCTCTCCATGCTCCCAATGTTCGGTACTCGAATGCATCTTCTTGCGGGAAAATAAAATTAAGAAAGGCTTTCGACTCTGCATTTTATTATTGTTACTTTATTATTGGTTTTTTTTTCGATTAAATGTGAGTGTGTTCTTAGCTAACTCTGTAAAGCCTGGCCCATTTTGTTTTGCTGTTGGGTTAATGTTGCCCGGTGGCAGAATACAAAAACCTAACACTATATACAATTCCAAATAAAACTATTATAAATTATCCTTCGGTCTCTATCTCGCAGATGCAAATGTCTTACGTGTAGTACGTAAACATACATGCACATACACATAAACCGACGGATACACCCAAGCATTCTCCTACTCGCTCATTAACATATGCCAACAATGCGGATAAAAACATTTACCTAACACCACAATATAATAATATTATTATTCTAAGAGTATCACCTCTATATATTCTACAGAGGTTGTGATGATGAACAATATAACGTTGCGATCCTCAATACGTGAAATGCACGTGGCAAGGAATGCCACGTGTGAGGGAGAATGTGCGAAGCGTGTGGAACGTGCGGGCAGGAAGGAGTGGGCAGGTCGGTGGAGATGTAAATAAAATGGCAAACGGTTTACACTGTAGATACTCGTACGTTCTATTTATTTCCCGGGTAACAGATGAAGGCAATCGGCGAAGCCTACAGATCAGATTGTCCTCTTGTATTTAACGTGTCGCGGATCACTTTGTAGAATTTGTAGATGTGTTGCAATGAAAAATTAATTCCTACAATATTCCCAAAGAATTTCATACAGTAATGAGTATATTCATATGGGTGAGGCAATTCTGTACGAAAATCCTCGTAGAGTTATGAATTATTTTTTGTGCGTTAGTTAGTATGCAGTTTGCGAACCTATCCGGCGCGCCGAAGATTGTCACAGGAGCTCCTACAGTTGGCGGTGACGCCTTCTCTGCAGCTACTCACGACGACCTCTCGGCGCTGCCTATCGTCCCTCGGCCCCTGCCCACGCACGCAAGCCCAGGATCAGCTTCGGCAACAGTTCACTTCGAAAAGATTAATTGAAAAGCTGTTTACTTCCCTTGCCTACGACTTCGCTGGTCAAAGTAGTATTTTTAAGCACTCTTTAAATTCTTATACTTACTGCATCGACATTCATTTAACTCATATTCAAGTATCTATCCATTAAAATGATAAAATGAGAAACGTCGCCAATTTATTTTTTAATTTTCGTATACTCGCTTTAACATAAAATTATTCGAAATCAAGCAGTCTCTTAGATTTTCAACAACAACAAAGAGATTCTCTCTCAGTAACTCATATATTTTGTGTCGGTTGAGTAACCCTACGGATTGTGTTATTTACTGCATTATCTCCCTCCCTGCGCACTTCCTCTCTTTCGAGGTTCCCCCGACGGTGTGCGCAACTAACTGTACAGCAATTGATTACGCGTGAGCTATGCAGGTTTCTTTTCATCCCGAGCTTTCTGCAATATCCTGTGGTAGCTCTCTCATTGCACTTTTGGACGACCTGTTCGCACGCTGTATTTCCTTGGCATACAGCCGTTTCCTAGCCGTCGAGTTTCCTATTGGAGGCTTTTTGCGGCTCGGGAGCGCGCCTCCTCCGCCTAATTTTGAGCGCGGCGCGTGCGAGCCTCATTGCCTGCGAATGGCGCCGCGCCGCGGCCACGCGGAAAGGCCCCGGATATCCATGGCCTGGATGAGCATGAGCACCGCAAGGAATGGAGGGGGAGGGTGCTGGGCGGAACTCAGAAACCAATGGCCTAGCTGGCCTCTTTGCCGCATCTTTCCACCATCTGGCTACCCGTTCCCCTCCATGCGAATCCTCCATTAAGTCCTCTTGCTGACTGGTCGACTCGGGTCGCGTTTTCGCCACTCGCTATGCGGTTCCTTTGTCTTGTTTTCCTTCTTTCCGCCATTCATACGTTCGCTCGTTCCGTCACTCCACGAACCAGTTGCTATTTTCTTCTCTTTGCGTCATTCTATGTTGTTGTCCCGACGTTGAAACGTCGGGTCCTTCAGATGACTCATCGATTCGTTGTCGGTTTGTCCCATATACTCATCTTCTCACCGTCCCCTCGTCCTGCCATATTGCTGTATCGGCGTCCTACCATCCCCTCCAAAGGGGTTGTCTGACTTCCCGCCTTTATCTAATCGACCATTTTGTCTCTCGATTATCCATTGTGTGTTCTCGACATCTACCGTTTCTCTTCACTTTTTTCTAGATGTCTACGTTCACAAACGTTCGCTTATAATTCGCCCCTTCACAGCCTTCCTTGTATCTCGACAATTTGTCCTCGATGAATCCAACCTTTTACCTGTCTTACATAATTGACTTGTTCATCCTTCACCTTTCTTTCATCCTGGGGGTGAGCTGGACCTACCTCCTCTCGACTGCGTGTTGCCGTCATCTTCTTCGCCTTCTGCGTTGCGTTGTCGCAACCGCTCCTTGCTTCTTCCTACCGCCATCGAACCCCGGCCTCGTCGTCGCGCGTGATGACGTCCCCGATTGGACGGCGCGTGAAATGGCTCCGGCGCTTTTTAATAGGCGCGCGCTTAATGGGGCGACGCGGCGCCGCAGCGCGCGCGGCCTCAACGGGGCCTTGTGCCGCTCATCTGCGCACCACTGCGCGAGGAAGCGGTCTCCGGGTGAGCCACGTATTTTGACTCTCTCAATGCCTTCTTCTTGTCGGCAAGTGATCGGAAGTTGGTGGCATTTTTATCAATGCAGGCAAAATATGAGTTCAAAATCTGTCTCTGTTGGAAACGTGCAACCGGCCTGTCGCATCCACGCAATGTGCATGTGACCAATGCAACATACATCTTATAGTTCGATTACCTCATCCTCCTGATTTTTCACTCCTTCCTCTCTTTATAAATCTCTTTCTCTCTCCTTCCTTACTTTCTATTTTCTTCTTCTGATAAACTTTTCTCTCCCACTCCTTCGTATCCCTCTCTACTCCTTTACCCCATCCTCCCTCTTTTTTCTCTTCTTCCTGCCCTCATTCTCTTCCACTTTTCCTTTCATTCTCTCTTCTTCTTCTTTCCATCTTCATCATCTCGTCTCCCGAGTCCTTTCTACCCTCCTCTTCCTCCGCGACTACTCGTCCTTCCTTCCCTATCTTCCTCCGGTTGCGCCCTCTTTGTACCCTCCTGCTTTCTGTGCATCCCCTCCCACTTGCGCCTCTCCCGCGCGCCCTCTCGGCTTCGCTTCCGCCTCTTTGAGGCGCCGCTAATTCCGCGAGGACCCACGCGACGCCCCGCACACCATTTTTCTTGCTTTTCCGCCCCGCCCCGCCCCGCCCCGCCCTCGCAAGCAAGGAGACCGGGAAATGAGTCTGCTCCGCCCGCCTTCCTCGCTTCCTGCCCTCCTGTCCCGGTTTTCCGCTCAGCACCACCCACTCGCCTCCGCTGGCGCCAGCGGCTTCCACCGCCCTCCAAGCCCATAACCTTCATTTTCTGTGACTATTCTAAACTATCCTGAGGTGCGTAAAATTCACCTTCATGAAACGCTTGCTTTTGCAGCAAAAGGTGTTTGAAAGTCATGCCCATATTCTTTATTTTTCGTGATCCTTGAGTTTCTATGTTTTGCTGTTTTTATGTTTAATATGTAAAGTTGTATGCATGAATATGGCGTGTATGCGAATCGCACGATCTAAATTTTACTGTAGTTAATTATTCACAAATGTGTGTCAACTTAAGCAACATTCCAATGACCAAAAAAACATTACAAGTATATTTTGTATAATAATAATAATAATAATAATATTTATTTTTTCTGCTAATGAGCTTTGGCTTGGTGGCAGTTTTACAGCATTACTGCAAAATGGTGTGCGTATGCGCCACGTAATATAAAGGTCATTAGACACACATGAAAATTGGATTAAATTTGCTGAAAAAGTACAGTGTAATTGTTAAAGTGTTAGTATTATGTCATTGCCTTGGCGCCTGACTACCACTGCGTAAGCAAATGTGCTCGGGGTGCGTTTGCACCTGCGAGCGGCGCCCCCGTCGCTTCCTCCGCCTGTGACACCGCCTGCTCCGCCTCCGCCCCTCGGCTGGCCGCCCCCTTGAGCGGCGCCGGAAGACAAACGGCGGCGCCGATGGCTTTCCTGCCGCCGGAAATGGCCAATCACAGCTGCTAGGCTAATTCGCGCGGCGGGGCGCCGGCGTCGAGGCGTCGGGGCGCCGAGCCGGGCGTCGCGCCGCGGTGGGGGCGTCGCGCCGGAAATTGTCACGCGCCGCGGGCGGCGGCGGCAGTGGCAGCGACGGCGAGTGCGGAGGCGGACTGAGACTCGCGCGAAAGCACAAAGCGATGGGTGCACGCACGATCCTTGAAATGTTGGATTGCACTGCAGTGTTTTTATTTTCTCCCTACGGAGTAGAGATAAAGTACGTACAAAAACGGCGAATTTTCGGTAGAAAAACTCTTATTAAGGGGCCCTGGTAACGAAAAACGGAATAAACCCGGTAGCTAATTTAGAGGAGAAAATCTTCTATCGCGTGGTGAACCCAGAATCCATGTTTTGTGAGACGTTCGAATTTCGAAAAATCGAATGACGGCAAAAAGTCTGTTCGTCTATCTGGCTGATGTTGCGACCTCTTCAATTTGAACCCCGATATTTCAATTTGTGGGTGGGTGGGGGGTATTTACATGATTTTCCTGGGACATATTCCAAATATTCAAAACAATGTTTCCTTGGTTTTGATTAAATTTTGTTTTGGGGTAGTGTGAAGGGCGTTTAAGAGAATGGTGCTTGTCTCATGTTCGTTAAAAACCCTGATTTTTTGAAACTTGCAAAAGTATAAACTTTTATTGGGATGTTCCAACAACTTAAATATTGAAGATAAATAATTTTTCCCTGAATGAAATCTGTGCTTTAAAGATAGATTTCGAAATACGAGTACGTATAATTTTTCGAAAGTTGAGTCGCGTATTTTTGCGTCAAAAGACAGGGGGTGGGGTGGCGAAAGCACGCACTCTTTTCGCAGCAATAGTTTCTTGATGGCAGTCAATAATATGCTTTCGATTATTTAGAGGAATCTGAATGTCTGTACATTATCTTTGGAATGTGTGCTGGTCTGAATACGTTATCGTCAAGTTTGCATATTCTTGCATTTCATAACAACACTTCCATTCCTTACGAGAATACGTGTGCTTGATCATTACCTTATTTATATCTCCTATAAACATCCGTTCTATTCATTTTAATATTTGTTATCGTATTCTCCTGATGTGAAACCACTGCTAACGTATCTGCAGTGCATTTCTTTTCCAGAACCAGGGTTAATCCGATTACTCACATATCAATTTTTAATGAGGTAATCAGGTTTGCGACAGATTTTTACTGGATTCTGCCGTTTTCCTTGCCTCCAATTTAACGTGCACGCGATCATCTCGTTCTTCCACCCATCAGCCTTCATCGCATTCACTAACACCGTCATATTTCCCTC